CTCGCGCGCACCTCCGAGCTTTTGTCCCGGCTGGCGCCCCGGGCGAATTGATTTACGGCTTAATCGGGCTTATGCGTGTTATTGATTTGCCCACGCGCGACGGCGTTCGACCGACCGTCTGGCCGAGCGGCTGCAGTAGTTGGCGGCGAGTTAGCGCGCCGAACAGCAGCTGGTACGCTTCGAGCCGCATTTCATTTTCGTCGCGTCGTCGTGCTATAAATAAGACCGTCGTTTGAGCGCGGGTGTGGGTCCGCGCACACGGAACCGCGTCGCGTCGGCTGGACAGCGGCAAGTCCGAAGTCGCGTGCACACTCGTCCGCTGCGAACGAGCGTCGGGCGCGAAGTCGGCGGAGTCCAAAAACGGGGGTGCCACTGCCTCCACGGAGTGTCGATCGCGGCCGCCGTCCGGCCGGGAACGAATCGGCGGAGGAGATTCGAGCGTGCTGCGGATATCCGCGACGAGCAGAGAAGTATTGAAAAATATACATTTATATATAATATATATATATATATATAAATAATATATATTAAACGATATAATAACATGTACATTCGGTACAGCAATACGCACTGAACCAGCAATACCGAGTAAATTCATGTGCCATACACCTTATTTGATTTATGTTTTACAGTTTAAATTTTAAACAAAGCTTAATTTTATTAATTTGAGTTTCATTAAGTTTCATCACTGTTTGGTACCTATATTAATTTAATGTGGTATATATTGACGAGTTTAGGTTATCAACTTTACTAACATATCAATGTGATATTCCATATTTTTATACCATTTATAAATTATTATAATCGCGGGCCGCTGGTTGCCGACCCCTGTACGAGGTACACGATGTCATTATTGCGCATACGATAGTTGAAGGCGGTGTGAAGAAAGTCTCTTCATACTTCATAGCCGTACATTTGGGAGGTTTAGGAGGACTTCTTAGCGCCCCAAAAACGTGTATAGCCTCCCTACATTTTTTTTTTTTTTTGAGTTTTTCAACAAATCTCAGGTTTTTATTAAAGGAAATTATAAAATGTACTACGTAATTCCTAAACAGGATATTCGATAGGTATATATTATGTAAATGTTTAAGGTTCATCGTTCATGCATCATGGATGAATTCAAAATATGTATTGTAAATTTATAATAAAATTTTATTAAAATGATTTAGCTACGTTAATAATTATATAGCAATAACTTTTTCAATCTACATTTTGAACAAAGTACTTGCTTCATTGATCGTTATAAAGTAAATATAGCAATAATATTTTATGAAAATCATGTGCTTTATATATTTGTTAATATTTAATTTTATATTTTATATTTCTTTAGGACTTGTTAAGTATTTTTGGTAATTCATTGAAAGCTAAAATAACCATTACTAAAAATGGTATAATCTAAACATATTGTACTTCAAAAGAATTAACAACAGATAACATATAGCTTATTTTTAGAGCTATTAATTTAATGCATTAAAATGTCAAAAAATGCAAAAAAATATGCAATATTAAATGCCAAAAATTATAGTATAAAATACACATGAAATGGTTTTTGATTTAATTTTTATATTCATATTAATATTATAGGATATTATAAATTTAGTACATTATATTATACAAGTATAAAAATATATGTATTTAAAAAAAAAATATTTAAAATATTGATTTAATTTGAATTTTGTATAATGCTATTTACCTGAAACATTTTTTAAAAATTTTTATATACATTTATTTCATTAATAACTAGAGTTTTAAAGATGTTAATTGACGAAATTTAATTAAGAATACCGGAAAATGAACTAAAAAAGTAAAATATGATCTAAAAATGCAAAATAAAAGTTTTATAAATGGATTCGTTGTTACATAATTCAAATTATGTACTTACAAAGCTACATTTCCCAATTGCTAAAAACAAATTTACTTTCCTACAAATTCATAGCTTTACTTATTTTACATGTAAATGTTAATTCAAACTTGTTTCATTTGTAAAAAATAGCTTCAACATTACCAATTGGTTTCTCCACGTGAGAGAGAAGAATCTCTGCTATGCGCCGGTTAAAAATGTAGTTACAAACGTCTATATCATGAGATAGATTCATTCACCTCTGGAGGATTTGCTAAAAAAACTATCGAAATAATTATTTAAATATCATCCGTTTGAGAAAGGACTTGGAATATTTTGTTACTTAAAGTGTAGTATGATTCGATCGGTATGTGATTTAAAACAGGGTCTCCACGTCCACGGACAGACGGCACCCGTAGTATCGTATCGCGCTGTGTTAGATATGTGTACGCACGCAAATGTTCTAATCGATGGTAACGGATCTAATAGTTATGGAAACGAGAGGGTATGATAACATTGTATGCGGTGACGTGACGAGAGGTATATAATTTCAATGAACTGTCTCCGAGGTTTTCTGACATTTTTTAAAGGGAGGGATGTTATTTTTTTCAGAGTAGGTGTATGTCATACGTGTTGCTTTGTTTTACATTTAGATTATCTTGTTATTTTATTTAGTACCTAAATAAGTTTAATTTTACATCCTACGTCTGGTACACGATTAAATTTTAATTTAACACGATAAATATTATTAACGTAATTCGTACATGCTTTAATGTAATGAATAATGATTCGTAAGAGAATTAAAGAATTTCTGTGTAAAAGTAGAGTAATCGTCATTTGCATAAAACCTTTCGCGGCTTCAAGCGATAAATCCTATAAATATCTATCTGTGCATAATTTCAATACAATTTTGTGCCGGCTTTCCCCCTCTTTTGCTAAAAAAGTTGAACTCGAAATTTTCCACTAAATATTTGACTGCGATCCACGTCTGATTGTTTTATTATAAATCTATGTATATTATACTATATTCTTGTGCGTTTTTAAAGTCAGTAGTGCTACATTTTCAAATTAGGACTTGTAAATGTATAAATTTGTAAAAACTATAATAGTCATCATAGTATTACGAATTTTTGTATTTTTCGTATAATTTGATACAATAATTATAGTAAGGTCGTTGTACAATAAATTATTTTTCATACGTGGTCTTACTGGATACTGCATTGAGGTAGGTCCGAGTCATCAGTAAATTTAATGCAGAAGTACATCTGGTCTTGTATAATCTGTGATAATAATAGTACAGGGAATACTAGACTACTAGAGTAGTAATATATCTTTAGTAATCACAAATATAGATAATAAACTTTATTATAAAGCTTATAGAACTTTTAGTTACCATTTATCAAATAACAGAAAAAAAAAATAAGTGGGATATGAATGTATGTAAGTATATAATATGCAAAATATTTTCGCCTCTTCCCACATTGCGGCTGCTCAAAAACCGTGCTTGCACTTTAGTACTTTTGTGTTGCCCGTCCCTAAACTAAAGTATACAAATTAATCACAAAATAAAATTGTATTATTGATACTTCATATAGAAAAAATATATCATAAAAGGCTTTAAATGCTCTTTTAACATAGAATAATCCTAATCATATGCATTATGTATTTATGTACCTATTATTAATGGCGGCTAATTTTTTTAAATTATAAATTTATAAGTCCATCTGAATTTTTTCGGGAGACCTCCAAAAATGGGACTCAGAATTTTACCCAGGGTAAAATCTCAAACTTTTAATTGTCCTGTAAGTACCTATACATGTTAGGAATGTAAAATATGTTAGTGGCAATATGTATAATATATTTAATGTCTAAAATGCTTGGTGATTTTTAAAGAAGTGTATATTTTTTTTACATACATTTCCTAAATATTTTGTATAATAATTAATAACCATAAGCGTAGAGTAGTTAATTTTTTTTTTTTTTTGGGGGGGGGGGGGGGGGGTGGGAGCTGTAGCCCTCCTAGGGGTAGACATGTACCAACTCGTAGAGAACTTCGTCTGTATTGCATTTGGAGGGAGGCTAATTTCCAAACTGAGAGGCTAATCCATGACTAGACATTTCATAAAAAGATATAGAATAGGGAAATCACTAATAAAAATCTAAAAAAATCAATTTCCTTTTATCAAGATAAAGACAATTAATTTTATTAGCACACAAAAAATATTTATTTTAAAGTACCAATTTAATATTACAGAATATAATACATAAAAATGAAACAAACAAAAATTAATTTGTAAATTGTATAGGTAGTTACAAAGTTATAAATTATTATTTATTATTACTACTATATTATTCTAAAAATTACAATATTTATGTTGAACGTAGGTATTAATAAAGAAAAAAGAAAATACTAATAACATGAATTTAGTACATTACCTTTGCATTGTTTGGAATTTCATAAAATACTCGGGTAATTTAAACAATTTTATAGATTGTCAACTGTAGTTGGTATTATGTAGAGTTCATAGATATTTTATAAAATATCAATATTATACACATTGTCGCTAACCGTGTTAACATAATATATACGATGTTACTGTTACATATTATATGATATATTTTATAATAATTAGATCTGTTTAATCAAAAAGGTACATATTATAAGTGCTATACTTTGATGTGTGGTAGGTATTTCAGATTAATCTATCACGTATTTGATCCAAAGTTCAACGCTCATCGAGTATGCATTAATTACTGACTGACTTGTCGTGTTATTTATTTGTAAAACGCTTTTTGCAAGTATTTCCAGAGAGTTTGCTTTTTTCCATCGATTAATAGTTACTAGGTAATTAATAGTTAGTAGCTAATTTAGGGCGTGCTTCTGAGGTGGGTGGTGAGTACTGGATTCTAGATTAAACTTATTTCAAACAGTAATATATATTATATATTATGTACAATTACTGAATTACTGAATCTTGATGTTTCTGATTACGGTTACAGAGTGCAGACTATACTCGTACTAATCAAAAAAAAAATTAAATCAGCTAAAAAAAAAACCACAGTAAGTGTTGGATTATAATTTAAATCAACTAATCATTTTTACTTGCTACATTTTTTTTGTTCACTTGTTTAAAATACTTTTTTTCACTATAAAAACATTTAAGATAATATTTAAATATAAAATTCTTTTATAATCAAAATCCAATAGATTTACTTTTACATAAAAATGTTTATATTTATGATATTATATTAATATGTAGATATTATTATTTACTGTTCATAATAACCAGGGCTTGGGACTTTATACAATTAAGATCATGTAAATATCCGTATACATAAATGCATATGGCATACTCCCCCCCCTCCAAAAAAAAACAAGCTCTATGTTTAAAGGGGAGTTACAAACATGTTTCTTGTATATTTTTAATTATAAGTACAAAATTGTATATTAATTGTTAAATAAAATTTACTATTATTATTATTATTATTATTACATATATGCATAGTAGATATCAAAATATGCACTTAAATATATCTTTATTTTAAATTAAAAAAAGATGTAATTATAAAAATTAAATTAAAAAAAAATTATATTGTTTACATACTATACCAAAAAAGGGCCAAACTGTTAAATGAGATATATTTTGGTGGTTTGTTCAACATTCAGCATTGATTATTATCATATCAGCATTATTGCAAACGAAATCATATAAGAAAAAATTAATTTAGAATGAATAATATTGTGTATCGTATCTACCCATTTGCTTTTTAAATAATATTTTTATAATGCATCAAAAACGAAAATTTTATAATAATATTTTTATTTTTCTAATAAATCAAATTAAAAAATATATAAATCTATAGAATATGCAACAAAAAGAATAAATTTTTGCAATATGCATGTGAAGAAAAAAACTTAAAATATACAAAAATATGCAATAAAAATTTTTGAATTTGAAATCCTTATATCAAAAAATAAATATGTATTGAATCCGATTTCTTCTATCTATTTCCCGAACAAATATACAAATGCATAAAGCCCCGAGTCCTGAATTAATAATTATCTTTTTAGCTTTTCAATATCTATATAATTAGCCTACCTATCTATCTACCTCATTAAATTAATTCAATACCTACATTAAATTAGTTCTAATTTGATTGAATATTTTTTAAGGGAATCTTAAGGTTATAAACATTACTTTTTATATATCATAAAGTTAGGTTAGGTTTTCAGAAAAATAATGTGTTTTTATAATTTTAATTAATTATGCATATGTTAACTGAAGTATATACATACAATGTACGTTTATATTATAATTTGAGATCAAGTTAAAAATAACTTCACGTGTATTATTTTATGTTTCAGTTAAAAAGTGTCGATCATAACCGTATGTAAAGCTGTCGAAGAAATGAATACATTTAAAAATCAACCAAATACTAAACTTATCAATGCTTCAACTTTGAAAAAAATAGCTGCGAAAACATCAGAAACTGGGCCGTCTACATCATCCGCCCCGACCGTTCAGTCAAATCAGATATTACTAATTAATAATGCCGAAGGACAACCTATATCTGGTATATTGTTACCTTCTAATCATTTTATGTTGAAATTAAATCAAAACCAACCCCAACCCGAATCAGATCCTGATGATAACAGCGAGCGTGAATCTACTTCGAAATATTTTTCAATGAATAAGAGTGAAAAGAAAATGTTTAGAGAAACATTTTTTCGTACACTTCTCGACTTTATGCATGAAATTGTGAAAGATGGTCGCATTGTTAGTTCTTCTGATCATATTTGGGAACGTGTTGCTTCAAAATTAGATAATATACTTAAACCTAAAAGTATTTACAATCGTTTTATTCTAAATAAACATTCTTGCAGAACAAGATTAATTGAAGCATATCTTAAAGACCCTAAAAGTCAAACTACAGATTTATCTATACTAAACCATATGATGAAAACGGATATGCACCATGTAGTTGTTGAAAAAAGACCGGGTCATGTTGATAACGAAACATTTTACGATGCTTTATTCATGTTTAAAGATAAGGTTCTTAAAGATGGAGAGGTGGCGCCGAGTGTAGATTCTGTTTGGAATCAAATCTCAGCACACTTGAATTATGCTTTAAAGCCCAATAGTATTTACTTGAGATTTAAACGTAATACCCACAACTGTCATAAAAAATTGCTTACTCATTGTAAACTTGATCCCTCCAAAGCCAAGACCTATGAAGTTCCAAGTCGAAAATTTGTACCATCCATGGAAAAGATACAAAACAAAGTAAAAAAGAAAAGTTTGAAATTTGAAGATTCTTCTAAATTTTTCAAAGCATTATACACTCATAGGAGAAAAATAATACAGAATGGGTCAATAGCAAGATACAATAATTCGGTATGGAATGAAGTGGCAAATATGTTAGATTACGCTTTGCAGCCATCTGATGTCCATTCAAAATTTATTCGTAATCATGACTTATGCCAGACTAAACTTATTGAGGCATGCAAAGAAGATGAGAATTTTACTCCATTAATTGTTCCAAAATTGAACAAGCCTAATAGTGTATCCGATGAAGCTTTTTTCAATGTATTATGTAAATACCGTGATGATATTTTACAAAATGGAAGTGAAATAGCTAAATTTTCAAACCCTGTTTGGACTCGAATTTCAAGAGACCTTAACGATACTTTAAAACCAGCAACTGTGTACTTCAGAGTAACAAGAAATTCTCAACTATGCTTAAATAGACTTCTTAAACCTACTGGATTATTAAAAGATTACAAAGACACAATTCATAAAGACCGTTTTTTTGAAACTATATGCTTGTATAAATATTCAATAATGAATGGTGATCAAGTCGTAGATTTAAGTGATCCTGTTTGGAACGAAATTTCTCTTCGATTAAATTCTGAATTATCTCCTGGAGTCATCTATGATACAATTCTTACAGATAAAGATTTGTGCAAGACAAAAATGATTCAAGCTCTTAAAACAGAACGCACTGTGTTTTCTGGAGAACAACCTGAAGTATCAGAAAATATGTCTGAATTAACGCCAATAGTTGAATGTGATATTTTCAATGAATCGAATGTTGATTTTATTGACATAATTGATGAATTTAAGGATTCTATCTTACTAGCCAGTGGAGAATTACCTTCAAAAAGTGATCCTGTGTGGAGACAAATATCAAGTCGTTTGAAAGATGCGAATGCAGATGATGTTTATTCATACATCATGAACGATACTCAAAATTTCCGTAATCGACTTTTTGGTAAAAGTCATTTTCCTAGAGAAGACTTAGTTGAAGCTATATTTGCACACAGACAATCAGTTATAAAGAATAATACTATCGCAAATATTAACGATGCAGTTTGGGCAAAGATTAGTCAAGAAATAAATCATGCACTGAAACCCAAAGAAATTTATATGAGGTACATTAATGATATAGATTGTTGCTATTCTAGTGTATTAAGAGCTTCAAAAAACGATTTAAATTGCTCTCAAAGTATTGATAAAGACAAATTTTTAGATTTGCTAATTAATCATAAGGACGCTATATTTAAACATGGATTATATGCTAATCGTAGTGATCCAGTTTGGAAAGAAATCGCATCTAAACTTAATTTTTCTGTAAAACCATTAGCTATTTATAATAACTTCTTGTTAAACAGATACAATTGCCAACAAAAAGTTCAAGAAGCTTATGAAGCAAATTCTTCACAGATTTCATCAAAAATTACTTCTCAGATGGACCACGATTATACGAGAGGTGACGCAGATACTAGTTTTGAAGATTTGATATCCATGAGACAAAAAGTTGGCTATGTACAAGAAAATGACTTTATTGAAGCTTGTTTAATGTTCAGAAAAAGATTAGTGAAAAATAACAGTATAGTCCCGTCTACTGATAATGTTTGGAATGATATATCGAAGCACCTTAACTATGCAATCAAAGCTAAAACAGCTTATTTGAGGTTTAAGCGTAACACTCATAATTGTCAAGGAAAATTGTTGGAACATTTTAAATTAAACAACGTTTCACACGAAGAAGATGAAGATTTAAATTCTGTTGAAGACCAAAGTATTGAAGATGAGATGTTCTTTGATGCAATATCAATTTTCAAACATTCCATTATTAATAATGGTGTTTTTGCTATGGCATCTAGCCCTGTTTGGATAGACGTTTCAAATTTAATGAATAATTTACTCACTCCAGATGAAGCGTTTTGGAAGTTTCGTCAAAACAGTGATTCATGTAGATCGAAATTAATTAAAAAGTGTTTAGCAGATTGGACCAACGAACCTTCATCGGTAACTAAAAATCGAATTCAAGTAATTAATTCTAAAGAAAAATCGTGGAAAGAAACGTTAATATCTGAACTAACTGCAAGAATGGATAAAAAACAAAACAAAAAATCATTAAATTTAAATGATGATGTATTTTATGATGCCATTTATAAATATAAAAGTGATATATTTCATAATGACTTGATTGCAAGCTGTACAAGTCCTGTATGGACAGCTATAGCCAAGGAGTTAAACAATGAAATGGAACCATCAACCGTTTACTTAAGGTTCAGGAATAACATGACTAAATGCAACCTGAAGTTTGCAGAAGCTGCTCAGAGACACAATACCTATCAATTAAAACAAAAACAATTATTAACTGAAGATAATTCTAATGATTCATGTGATGAACAGATGATTATGGATTATGATGACGAAGAAATTATAGAAATTGAATCTGATACGGAAAGTGTTCAAACAAAGGATAACTGACATATCCATAAAACTAAACCTATGCAAATAGATTTGCAAATAGTTTAACATGAAAATAAATGAAAATGATACTTTCAACATATTTGGTTTATTGATTACAGCTGATTCGCAAACGATAAATAAAACTTATATTTATCTTAATTTGAAATGGAATTTAATAAAGATCTCTTAGATAAATTTGTTTTTTTTATTATTATTATTATTATTATACTTAAAATATACTTAATAATGACTGATTAATGTTACCTGTAATTTTAATTTGATTCATCTGTTTACCTTGTTTTTATTTTTGTATTCTTCATCTAACTACGAGGTTGTGCAATATGTGTGTTCAATAATATTTCCTTATAGGTAATTTTATTGATTTGGTTTATTAAAACTTTTATTATTATACCGGTTTATTATACGTATGTGTTTATAATTTTTTTTATAGTTTAAAACGTTTATTTAATTGTAATACCTGCATGTATTTATTTTAAATGTGAATGCAGTATTTAATAGATATAGGGCACAATTATACCTAATTTTCGTCTCATTATTTTATACATATTTTTGTAATTTTAAGCATTTAATATTTTTAATATAATAACTACTTATTAGTTAAAATCTCCTAAAATAAAATATTGGTTTTTCTCGTTCCAGGCAATTTATTATTTTAAACTCATTTTAATTCTATCTAATGATCTAAATGTGTGTCATTTATAGAATTCAATAAAAACTAGATTTAAAAATATCATTTGTGTATGAATTTGATGGTTTATGTGATTGATTTGAAATATTAATAAAGGTATTAATGTACTAGGTACGTTATAATATTTTAGTAGGTAGGTATCTAATTATCACTAACATTTTTTACTTTAGCGGTTTAGAATATTAAAATAAATGTAATTACTTGTTGATAGGTAATTTAATAAATAACTTACTATATCAAGTCTATTATTGTATCAGACTCTCTTTGAAGAATCAAGTCTGTTCCAATATTGTGATTTGGTAAAGACTGACCACAACAATTTAAATGTTTTATTGGATTGTAATGATATATTTTTTTTTTCAAAATTTATATCTATTTAAAATACTATAAATCTCAAAAAAACTTTTTGTTAAATTTTGTAATTAAGTACCTATTTATACAGAGCTCAACTGTACAAATATAGATTGTGAACATTGACCTGTCTAGATAAAACAACTTTGACGTTTATCTTTTCTTTTTCGTTTTTATCAAGTTTAGAAAAATTACCTGAAAATAACTAATTAAATACCTAGTTATATATTTTTCATTTTCATTTTTAAATTAGTATAGATAAACAATAAGTTAATGTACATAATTGAATAAATAACATAATATTTATGTGTATTAAATAAAAATACATTTTGAATATCAATAATTACTTATTATAATATAATTATCACTGAAAAGCTAGGATTAAGCGGAAAGATGCATAATTGTATGTAGTATTTAAATTTATGTAAGCTATTGATTGATTTTTGAATAATATTATATCTTGAAATCTATTGATTATTTTACAATTTAATCAGAAAATTATTATTTTTGTTTGGTTAGTAATATAATTTAGTAAAGTAGTCATCAAGATAATAATTATTGTTTTATATTGTATTAATTTGTTTTCTTTTGCATTTAAAAAATGGGACTGCAATAATTATACAAAAAATAATTGGTTCAGTCGGAAAGCTTTTCAATAATAATTTTTTTTTAATGAAATTATTCACTAACGAAAAAAATATGTATTAATTTTAATATAAACAGTTTTTATTGCATTAAAAATCATTTTGATTGAAAGTTATATCATAGAAAATTTGTTAATTGTTAATGAATCAAATGTGTTTTTCTAGTTGAAGTTCGCTCGAATCAAACCTTTTATTTTTGTCATTTTACATCGCTTTAAGTAGCTTAAAAAAATGGCGAACAGAATAACACACGAGTTTATTAATATAGTGAGTTATGAGTTTGTGACTAATATTCATTAACATCAAACATGTGCCTGTACCAAATACCGATTAAATAGTTAGCACTAAACTATTAATACAGAAATAATATTTTCAAATTAAAATCAGACATATTAATACAGACAATATCGTCGTCATATAAATATATCACACGGCCTACTATATAAGATACAAAAATATAGGTAATATAACGGGGTTTTACTGTATAGTGTATAAAATATGATAATTGGCTATATTTTTGGTTTTTAATATTGCTATTTTTTATTTGATATTTCACAGACATAAGTTCAAGCCAATTGTGCTTAATTTGTTTTGGATACAACATTATTTAAGTTTTCATGTACAATCTTATAGTAAAAAAATTGTCATTATTTACCTTACGATTAAAGTAAAATCATAAAAAATCAACATCAATGTATACAAACAACATAAATTACGTTTAATGTTCTTTTTTTAAGTTTGGCATAAGTTGGCTTTTAATTTTTAAACACATGCTTGATTTTTTACTAATGTTCTACGGTTTACTTTAGTAACGATAAATTATTTGATGAAAATATTAACATCTTTTTTAGGTACGTCACACATTCTCACCAATAAAACTATAGTAGGTAGTACAATAAGAAAACAAAATAATTTTTTATGACATTAACCGACATCTAACTTTTTCAAATTTAGTATCCTATTATCTTTATCTTAAATTTGATTTATAATGTAAAAATTTAAACATTGGTTATATATAATAAAAATAAATAAAGTAGGGTTGATTTCAGGTAGACCAAAAATATAACCACAAATTTAATATAAAGTTCTTTATGAGTTATTGTTATCACAACATTTAAAAATATTAAAAATACATAAATGACTTTTTTTTATAAATGTTTACAGCTGAACATTTTGACAAAATTGGATATATTAAAAAAAAAAATACGATTTTTTCATAAACAACTTCAATTATTTTGACATAATTAAAAATGCGGATCGAGTATCAATTGTTTTCTTGACAATTTTTTAGTGTACGTACGTATCTCGTGTCCTACTTAATGTAGGTCACTTAAATACTGAAATGGTATGATTAAGTTCGAGGTATAAATAATTTAAAATCGTTTTAAATGTTTTGAACATTTTAATGTGTATAGAAAATGATAATATATAATGATTAATGATAAACGTAGTGGAAATAAGTTTCTAGTCTCTACGATTAATAACTATTTTTAAAATTACAAAAAATAACTAAAATCGTTTAAAAAAAAAAATTACTATTTTTGTCTTTTGACTAAGAATAAACATTTTTTATTTTAATCAATATATCAAAAACATTTTAAAAAATGCGATAATTATTTTGAAATATCTATTATTAATTCAAAAGGATCCAAAATATTTTGTAAATTTTATTTACAAATTTATATTGTGTAACAACAAAAAAAAAAAAAATCGATTTTTTTCGAAAATTTGTGTTGCATAAGTATTCTTATACTTCGATATTTCCCCCATTTTTTATATTTTATTTTAATTTTTCAAGGAAAACACGGTATAATTCATATTTTTACCTATCAAAGTTATAAATAAATATTTTTTTTTTTAAATACTACACTCAAAGCAAAATGTACAATTGTAATAAATTGTTTTACACAAATGTAATATCTTCATAAACATAAAAAACACACATGATAGTAAAACCTACTGTACCTATATTTAGAATCTAAAATCAATGTAAGCATTTAAAAAAAAATATGATTTCAATTGTTATTGTAGATTTAAACAAGTACACCCAGGGTTTAACTATAGAAGGCAGCATTAATAGAGAAAGTTGAAAGCTGAAGAAGCAGAAGAAAAATTGTAGATATATAATTTTGTATCTTTTTATAAATTTGAACAAGAAATCTAATGAATCATATTATAAAAATGTAAATAGCTTTTCATGATTTTTTAGGATACTCATACAAATAAAAAATAATTATTTTTTTCGATAAAAATTATCAATAAATTTACTAAACTTAGATGGTCGTAGTACAAAATCTTGTAGTTGGTAATTATACTAAATCAAAATTGTAATTAAGCCATCAACATTTTCTAAAAATAGTCATTACTAGGATCAATTAAAAAATAGTTTTTAACCTTTTAAAACATACATATTTTTAATTATTCGTTAAAAAAATTTAAAATTATTACAATAAATAAGCTATAACAAAATAAACACGTACTTTTATTTTATTTTTAAATCTCTTTTTTTTTATCGGTGATCATTAAAAAAAAAAAAAAAAACTGTACGGTATAACTTACAAAATACGTTCTGTTTATAGTTATGAACACATCGTTTAACCAATTGGCCATTACAACCAATGTACCATAAAGTTGGTTAAATTATTTATGGACAGAAAGATATTATAATATGTAAGTACATTAATACAACGATAAAAAACAAAATAAATTTCTATTTTTATTTTAAATAAATTTAAAGAAAATAATGTAAAATAAGTATAGATTTTGTTAAAATGTACTTAATAATCTTATTTAAACACTTCATTTGCGAAAAGTTAACGGTGGAGGACTGCAGGGCAAACGTAAGTCTGTATTACAAAAATATTATTTTAATTTTTGATTATTTTAAAGGACTTTAAGGTACTTAATTACCTGTATTTTATCAGTTCTCACGGATGTGTACCAGTGATTTTCCAGTAAACAAACTCAACTCTTCATTTAGGTACTGTGATAAATCGAAACTTAACATCGTTGACAAGTAACAATGTTGTGTATAATTTCAAAATGATTTAATGATAACTAATGCCTAATACTAAAAAATCTAAGTATATGGCCTACGCAACAAAATAAAAAGCGTAATAAATATTTGGAAACGATGTATACCTGCCAAAAAACTAACTACCAACACGCATTTCAATATATTATTTGAAACATGGATATATTGGATTTGCGACTCACATACTCGTATCTTCGGTAAAATGGTCCTGACTGTTGGGAAAAAAGTTCCAGTAATTTTTTTTATTTGACGGTAAAGTTCAAAATGGTTTTGACGGATTTCATGGAAAGAAAAAAAAATCGAATAAATAAAAGAAAAGCATGTGTAAATTGTAGGTAACCGCGATTAGTACCCATTGAAATGTTCTATTTATTTTTGATATACGTATCATTATTTATTATATAGTATGAAATAATTTCGTTGGCTATAAAAAAAATTGTCGGTCCAATTTTAGTACTTACCTTAAATTGTATGATTTCCTTCACAGTGTTACAGTAAAAATACTTCTTTACTGCGCATATTATCATATGACCTCTCCCACGAATCAATTCACACATAATACATTGACAAAAAATGTATGTTATCCGCAAACCTTTTATTGGTTGATAATTTATAAGTGTACTATGCATATTATAGCAGCAATAGTTAATATTATATTCTGTGATAGTAGGTACCTAAATATAGTTATATATTGTATAATTAGAATACTTCGCAATTTACTTATAATTTATAAATATATATATAAATAAATATATACCTATTAAACTATATAGGTATTAGGTACAAGACATCTCTCACGTTATACTTAATTTTGAATTGTTTACATAGCGCACATGATACTTATGTGTGTATGTATTCATTAAAAAAAAATTGATTAAACTATCAATTAAGTTTTTTTTTTGTCATGAATTATGATCATTATACCTACTTCTTTTTATGGGAAATACTTCGTAAAACTTAAATATTATAACTTGAATATGACAATAAGTAATTGTTTTGATGATTATTTTTAAAGATTTTTCTTAAGAGTACGAAATATTGGAGTTATCAGGTGTACAATCCCGGACAAACCTAGAAAGTTAGCTAAAGTAAGCTATATTTATATTAGTAGTCTACTGAGTATAATTATTTTCTCTATAATGTATAACGTGTGGTTACGAACCCACTAGAGAGCATTGGTTAATATGAGATGAAGGTTTATGAATTGAAATTATTAGAATAATTGTAAGTTTAAAAGTTTTGTTATTTGGTAGATCCCTCTCCTTAAAGTCCACTCTATAAGTTATTTTGAATATTTGTAATCAACTGTCTATACTCAATAAATTAAAAGTTTACTTTCTATACAAAGTTATGAGAATGACCAAGTTCCCTTAGCCTATGCCGTATGGAATCTGAGGTTTAAAGATATTATTGTGAGGGCCTATCTTGAATTAATCTTATATCTGCAAGATTGACTTCTGATGATCTGACTATTGTAAGTTATAACTTATGACAAATGTTTATATTTAAAAACGATTCTCTGTTCTCTGCTATATTAAATATGCATAAGTTAAGAGTTTTAAGTTTTAAGTTATTAGAAATTCAAATTTGAATAATAGCTAAAAATGATGTCTATTTGATAAATAATATTGAAATTTGAGTTTAAACTGCGTCAAACAACAAACATCAATACCTCAAATACCTAAATAAATTAATTTCGAGTATAACTTATTCAACTTTTGATATTTTATTACTCTTAATTCTACAATTGATCATATAAAATACAAATATAGGTAGACATTATACATAATACATAGTATTTTTGGTAATGACAGTTATTACTTATTACTTATTAGTTACATAAAACTTTTACAGACAACCGTTATTGCAAATTGACTCATACAGATATAACGGTCCATTAAAGTTTTATGTAACCCTGAACCGGGCATAACATTAAAAAGACTTATGTAGTTTATTATTTAAATTCTATACAGTGTATGATTACGAGAATTGAGAAGTATTAGTCGTTTTGATTCATTGCACACTCTGAAATAACGACTATCTTAAACCTAACCTAACCGGTCTTATTTGACCCTGAACTCAAATGTGAATTATATATTGTTTGAGATGTAACTGATCGACAACTAGCGTATTGAAAATCTTAAGACCAAATGTCAGCTGAAATTTTAGCAATGTCAAACTAGGATTTTGATTTTGATAATCATAATTTTTTACTAAACAATTATTATAATAATTGGCAAGATCAATTCAACTACTCGTATATAATAATATTCATTATTAATACTTCCATAGTACGTCGACCGTTCATTATGAGTATCTAAAAGCTAAAGGTACATTAATTTATAGATATATCAACTGTTAATAATTTGCGTATTCACTATTACCAATTTACCTGTCAACAAGTGATATGATAATACATGGGGACTACTGGTAAATAAAAAAAAAAAATGCATTGACAGAATTCTCGTTTTAAATATCTGAAAAGACAATAGCATTTCTCTAGTCATTGCCAAGTCAGGACCAATATATTTATGCGTTTAGTTTGCCATTTATTTTCAAAGTGCGATAAAAAACCTGATACCGTATACATTTTTTTTTAATCGAAATTCGAATTGAAACGAAAATAATATTCAGATATTTATTTTTTTGTTCGTTAAATAAAAACGTAGTCACGTACAGATTTTTGCTTCATAATAATAGCTTGTTTCACGAGAGTGGGATGAGCAACCGTTTTCGTTACGAATTGTCCATACTCATTAGAATATAATAAGTCATAGTAAACTGGCGGAAACCGTGGAACCGGATGAAATAGTACAACGTTAATAATATTTGACAATAAAAAATTGTAATAACATTATAAGTATGGTTACAAAACTTATAACTTATAAATTATAGTACTTTAATAAACAACACTACAGAGTGGTCTTTAACTGATGAAAATAGACATCGTGTTTATGGAAACTTTTTATAAACTGTTTATATTATGTTTTTCGCAATTCTAATATTAGATAAATAAATATATTATGTATTGTATATCAAATCTCAATATAATCTCAATAATATATAACATAATTTTTTAAATATTAAAAACCAAAATCTGTACCCATTACACTATTAACGGTTAACTTGTAACTTTCAAACGGAAATCTAAATTTTAAATTATCAAAGTGAATGTTTTCGTGCAAATATCTGCAATACGTATTAGCGGTGGTGGGTGGATGTTTGTTTTCCTACTTATAGACAGATAACTACATAGTTATTTTACGGATATGCAGTGATGTCTCTGTAATATATTAGACATCTGCAATCTATCGATATACGTATATATGTATAAGATTCTTTTATGAAAATGTTGATATATCTTAATAAAAAATCAAACCCGTAGTTTCTGAGATATTAATACGAATGTATACTGAACTATTATTAGAAATAAGAATAAACAGTCCTCAGAGACGGTCTTACAAATACTATTTATATATTTCTGAAAAATAGACGTATGGTGAATAACCCTGCAGTAGGTATTAACGTATAATGTGTGTACATTAAAGTTTCGACTGGATATACAAGGTTTCATTATGGGCGGAGATGTAATAACCCGTTATTAACGCATTTACACGTAGTTATTATTATTGTCATTGTCAACGACCTTAAAGATGGAAATCTAAAAAATAAAAAAAAAAATAAAAAAAATACTCTCTGCAAATCTTCGAGCCGAACGTAGTACAGTGATACGTGTATATTACGTGTATATTAGCAGCGCCGGGTAAACGTCGGAAGAGAATGATTTCAGAAAAATTCATTGCGGGTAATAATCTTCTTGTCCGGCGAATCAAAAACTAAATCTCAAGGCGGGGCAGCGCGGCCGCACAAAGACGACGACAGATTTACGTCGAGGCGGCGCGTCGTGACGAAGTCGTCATCACTGCCGGCAACACTAAGCGCGAACCGAGCGCAGCTGCGGCGCGTCTCGCGCGCTCGTCCGCACGGTAGACCGGTTGTGGCGGCCGCCCGGCGTAGATGATGATAATACAGTACAATATAATAATAATAATAATAATAATAATAATATAATATATTATGTACATCGCGCGCCGCCGTCGACGCGACGGCGGGAGGGCGGGCGGGTCCGAGTCGGCCAGATATCTTGTAGGTACGTCGCGCGGCACCAGCAGTGGGGTGGATCCGTCAACGACCACGGCGCGTATACCTGCGATATAATAGTAGGGGTCACGATCGCGTTCGTCGGCTCCGGCGCAGAACACCACCAGATCACCAGCCATCCGAAGTCCAAGCCGGTCGTTGACTCCTCCGCGCGCGCGCGTCTTATACTCTGCAGCTCGCTCGCGGTCGAAAACACCCGTCGTCGTCTCCGTCTCCGTCGCAACGGCAGCGACAACGGCAGCAGCAGCCGCCGTAAAGTTTTTGCGAAAAAAATCTGAAAAAAACGCACGTACCGGCGTCGGCCGCGCGCGTGCTGTACACCGCGCGACAACTATCCGCCGCGCCGGCCCCGAAACGGGAAACCCGCGGGAGCGCGCGACCGCACCGTACGCCACGGCCGTGCGTAGCGCAGTAGCGATTGGTCGTCCGTCCGCCGCGCGCGTACGTACACGGGACATGACCGCTACAGCACCGGCCGTCCTGCAGCCTGACCGCTCGTAACCGCGGCCGCTCGTGTAACCGCCGAGCCACACGCGCACCGGCCACGCTCTCGCCGTCCGTCGCACAGACGCGCCGCCGACACAGCAGCCGCAGCAGCAGCAGCAGCTCTATCGTCACCGGCGCCGCACAGCCGCCGTCGTCGCACGTCGGAGTCTGAACGTCAGCCCGCGATCGCCACCTGTGCACCATGACCACCGCGGGCAAAGCCGTTTCCCGTCACAACCACTGGTCGTCGTCGTTCAAGGTAAATTCGGAAATCATCGTAGGTATAGGTAGGCGCACTGTCGTCTATAGGCGAGTAGTTAACTAATACTAACTGTAACTACCTATCGTGTACGTTGGCTATGCATTTACCAATCGTGTCGGGGGTCTTGTTGCAGCCAGGGCTGCGGGACAAGCGAGCGCGGGTGCTAGGGACGAAAATCTAAGGACTCGATGGTGTACAATTTACTAAACATGGTACAGTTGTCTGCACTCGTTGCTTTTGAAACTCGGGTGAATTTTTGTGTAAAGTTAAAATTTAAAATACCAACACGAATCTAATACATAATTTTATATTATATTATAATATTTAGTAATATAGCAATCGTGTTTTCCGAGATGTTTTAAATTTAAATCGCCGGTTGCTACAATAATAAACACAACTATTATAAAAATAAATAATAATACATACATTATAGATTTATAACGATAAAAAAAACTTTTTACTTTAGTTCGTTAAACTCTAAATCATAAATAGGTAGATTAAAATGAAAAAAAAACGGCATCAAAAACTATTCTGCTTAGTGAATGGAAAAGAAAAAATAATATTATAAAAAATTGTCAATAAGTATAATATTGTCTTCGAAACCTAGTAAAAAAATGATGCGTTATTGTATAATCTATTTATATATCTTATATTTTATTAATTGACTCAATTTAAATTTTGATAAGCATAAGTACTGAACGTTCGTTTTATACTTGACCATAAACAACAAACTAGTTTTTATAATAGTATTTGTAAAAAACAAAACAAAAATACACAGAAATTAAAAATAAATGCATAAGCGTTAAGAATTATATTTTGAACATTTCAACAGGTATAAGTGGTCTTCATAATACTATACTTAAAAATAAACGATTGGTTCTGCTGAATGCGTGTAAACTGTCTTCTTATATTTGAATTATTTGCTTTTACGTTTTATACAGAATTTATAATTTAAACAATTGGGTATATTTGTGTACTGTATATTTATAAAGAAAGATTATGCAGTTATACCGTTATGTTGAATATAAAAAATAAATATAATCAAAATAAATGTATGCAAATTAGATATTGAAATGTATGCTCGTATTTAACAAATATTACATGATATATACTTACATACAAATTAAACAAAAAATATAATTATAACTATAGAGTAATTCAATAATTATTATGATAATATATTTTGACATTTTGCAAAAAATATGTATTATGATTATTTTAATACCTATAAGATATTTAATAATATAGGAAGACATGTAATCAAGTTATGTGCGAATGTTCTAGATAATAATAGTCTCAAATTTGATAGAAACTTCAAATCGTCACACTATTTATTTAGATGATTATAGATAAATATAATCAAAATAAGTTCAATAGAATCGAGATCTAACGAAATTTAAATTTTATTTAAATCTAATAGGCGGTGTACTTATTGAATTCGTTCTAAGTAATTGAATGTATCAAAGCAAACGTCTCGATTATCGGTTGATAGGTAATAATCGTAAACAATAAGCAATCAATCGTTTGAGTGCGTTCTCAAAATGATTTCTAACTCATCATTGTTCATTATATTATATGCGTTTAAAATTTACCTCATTTCGATATGTATGGATGTAATAGAATGTTTATATGAATATTATATATGCTTCACATGTTATCTATGTGCACATTTTCCATCCCTCTAGTAATTTATTTCAATCGTTTCTTATTTTCATCTAGTTTAATTTAACGCCTATTAAATTATTTCGTTTTTTTTTCAATAAAATATTGATATTTTCGTATGAATTAAATGAACAGTATATTTAACAAGATAATGTATACTATGAATATTTCTGCAACTGTAAGATTTAATTTTAATTACCTTTAATATCATAGCCCTTAACTACCTACCAATATTAAACAAATATATACACAGTGGCGTGACGAGTGGTAGATTAATTGTGGGCAAATACATATTTTTAGATTCCCTTCTCCCCCAAATAAAATTATTAAGTGCCATAATTTTTTCAAAATATCAACTATTATTATCGAACAATACATCTATTTGATATTTCGATCTATTTCAATTTATCTTTTTGTTTTTCCAAAGCGTCCCGCATTCTCTTTTATCTTACATTATTAAAAATACAGTATACAGGAATGTTGGTTCAAAAATATTGTGGAGTCGAGTAAGGGAATACCCCTCAAAATTTGACGAGGACAATTGCCTATTTAGGACCTATATTAGCCGTCAAGTTATGTATATAATATACATATAATAACTAAATAACTGAATACATTTCTTGATTAGGCAAATAATTATTGAAAATAAGTTTATGCAATTTGTATTACTTCCTTCAAAACGGACAATAATTTAAACATTTTGAACATCAAGTAGTGAATACTTGTACAGGAAAAAACAACTGATGAAAATTTTTAAGTTTAAAATAAATATTTTTATCAATTCATACATAAATCAGATTTTAAACTCGCATAAATAACGATACTTATATACGATTTGGGTGGGTATATTGTAACAATCCTAGTTATATGTATTTGTGTGGAATTCGACGTTACATTCAATCGTAAATCAGTTGTATACGCACTTACATTACTATACATAATATACACACAAATGCTCTTCGTGAAATTCACTATACATGAACATGATTGAGATTCAATAATAATAATCGTATTCAGATCAGAACGAGACGCGTTTTCCACTGACAGCCATATTCTAGTTCGTACATAACAATAATATAAGTATACATGCGGTCAGGATACCCCCGACGCAGTCGCGTAAACGATAATCGATATTCCATGTAATTCTTTTTAAGTATTGGATGGCTTTATGAGGGGTTATAACGAGTATTTCTTTTGTGATCCTGATTAACGACGAACAAGATCCTAATTGGTTGTCGGTCACGCACGTTTTTCATGAGTCGAAGCAAGTATATATATATATATTATATATATATATATACACAGTATATACTTACCTATAACGACAAATGATGATGCTTATGATGAAGAAATAGTAAAAATCATTTTTTTTTTTTTAAGAAAAAAAAGTAATCCTAACTAAATTATTTAGCATCGTTCATGTAGAAAAACGGCTGGGAAACAAAAACACTGCAAGTTCAATGACTGCAGCACGAATGACCGCAGGAATACGCGCGAACCGCAATGTCCGTATAAACGTGCGTCACGCGTGACTCGGGAACAATTACGATTACTGTTCGTTTAAAAGTTCCATTCATATCGGCGGCGGCGCGGATACCGTATAAGATGGATTTCGTATCTTGTAAGAATATTGTACCTATCTATATTATATATGTATTACAATATCCCCAAACAATATTTATTCATTCTTTTTATTTTTTAAAAAATCAACACGGACCGGTTCTCATGAGCCCCCATAAATATTTCCGGTGTGTCATCCGAGAAAAAAAAATATCGCATATTTATATATGCATGAAGTTTTAAAGCGATAAAAAATAAATACTAACGGAAATTATTATTTACTTATAATAATGTACAAAAACTACAATAATTATAAGTTAACCGCACTGCACATTATATAAATATATATATATATACGGATGACATTATTTATACATATAATAATAATTACATACCTACGTATACAGTTATTACTCACAGGTCTTTCTCAGAGTTTGTCATAGTCGACAACTTGTTTTCAAACTACAATTTTCATGATTTAAGAAAATTATTAAATTATGAATGAGGATAAGAGGATAACGCGTTGTTTTATAAAGCTATATTTTACGCTATGCAAAAACAATTTTTGTAAGCCTTATGTGTGTTATGTAATCGTGCAGTAGATGAGATATAAAATGTCATCAGCATTTTATCTGCAAAGTTCATCGTCCACAAAACACACAACGACTATTATAATTTAGAATATAAAATACAAAATACAATATAACATGCGTATACAAGATATACGCACGTGCATGAATAGATTATTCTGAACTGATATTTGTATGTAACGAACTCGTTGTCTTGTTAACGTTGTTGTGCACAAACTTAAGAGCTTGATTATTATGTTTTGGACAATATATATACTACTCTGTAGGCAGAGATTTATTTATGAGATACATATATTAAATCTAAATGGAATAATGTGAAATAGTATGCTCCGATGTCCGATACACGTATACAGTTGTACGAAAAATAATTTAACATCAATTCGGTCCATTATGTGAAAATATGAAATTGAAGAATTTGAAGGTTACACTTCCTCATTATCGTGATTCGTGATGTGACTGCTACGTGTACATAAACGAAATAGAGTTAATTTTTTTTTAACCTATCGAAGGTTTTCTTATCATTGCTATGGATGGTTTCGTTTTCGATTATCTGAGTGAGCTGTTCGCTGTATTATTCACAGGCCCGCCGGATTTTTGCCAAATATGCTACGGAATTAAATGATTTTACAAAAACATAGATGTCGAAGAAATCATTGTTACCTATTAAATTTATAGCTATCAAACACTGGTTAAGTGGGGAGTATGTCTCCGGGATCCATTCACGTGTACCTATTCCATCTACAGACTATTATCAATGTTAATAATATAATATAATGAAAGCTTATAAGACGGCGTTTGGTCGAATGATCTGCAGTTTTTAGCATAAAATAATACGAAGAGAAAAACAACAAACCAGTAGGTATATAAGTAAATATTGTGTATACAAATGTATGTATCAAAATATAAACTAGTTACTGTATTAAAAAACAACGGGATACCTATAAAACACAATAAATAATAAGCTACTGTATAGGTTAGTGTGTTTTTGTATTGATGCGCATATTTGAATATAAATAATGTACGATGGTTCGAAATATCATCAAAAGATACTGTATAGATTTAATTGAACAATAGTTAATGTGCATTTCAGTTTATCTCGAATAAAGACGAAAGTAGATTTCACTTACAACTGGATATAATGTTATGTATGTAAGTACGCGCAAAAGAGATTAAAAACACCAACAC